CGCGCGTGGAATGGGGGCGCAGAGTGGGGCGCGGGCCGCGGGCTAGAGCGCCTCTAACTCCGCAGACGAAGGCGCTGATTGACAAGCTGCAGAAGCTGGTGTCCTCGGACGGCCGGTTCAAGAACCTGCGAGAAGCGCTGAAGAAGTGAGTGTGTCCGTCCGCCAGGCACCGCCCTGCAGGGCCTGAGCCGCCGCCTTCACCCCCACCCCATCCGCCTGGAGCAGGAGTCTGTCTGTCTGTCTGTGTGTCTGTCTGTCCGTCTGTCTCCCCCCAGACACCCCCCCCCGGGCGGGCCAGCCTTGTCCTCCATCCTCTGCCGGAGAAACTCCGTCCGGGGGGCCCTTCCGGACAGGCCCAGGGAGGACCCCGCGACGTCAGAGTCCTTGATTCTAAAATGCACGGTTTTGGGATTTTTCTTTTTTCTTCCTTTAACATTTTAGTATTTCTGACACTGGGATACGTCTTAAAGGCGCCGTCTCTCTCTCTCGAATAGGAGTGTGTTTTCACTTCCTGTACTTGGGAATCGGGCCTCAAAACAAAAGTGCCGCCCTGGCCTGTGCAGCTCAGTGGTTAGAGCGTCGGCCTGCGCGCGGGAGGGCCGCGGGGTGGATTCCGGGTCGAGGGCCGGTACCTCCGTTGCAGATTTTTTAAAATTACTGTTATTTGTTTATTTGGTTAATCCTCACCTGAGGCTATTTTTCCACTGATTTTTGTTGTTGTTTAGAGAGAGTGGAAGGGAGGGGGAGAGATGGAGAGAGAGAGAGACATCGATGTGAGAGAGACACATCCCCCGGCTGCCTCCCCCCTGCACCCGGGCCAGGATCGCCCCTATCCACTGAGCCACACCGGCCAGGGCTCGGTTTGGGGTTTGCTCGCCAGTCCTGGCCGGGGTGCGGGAGAGGCAGCCGGTCCGTGTGTCTCTCTCACATCGATGTTTCTCTATCGTCCTCTCCACTCTCCCGAGATCAAGGGGCCAAATAGCCAGGGGTGAGGGTCCAACAGTAAGTCCCTTCACAGACTGAGCGCATCTCAGAATCAAAGAAACGCCCTTCGGCCGATCACTGCCCCTCCAGAGCCAGC